TATGTTGCTTTCTTCGCTCCCCCATCCACGCCCGAGGCCGCAGCTCCCTCCGCTTGGACAGAAGGACGGACGGACAGACAGACGGATTTTGGGGACCCCATGGCCACCCTTGGGGCACCCACCCCTGCAGCACCCGCTTTCTGCACCCTGGGATTGCACAATATAATAAATATAATAAATTTATATCACACAGTGGGGTGAGGATCTCCTGCATCCCAAACCTTCCCAATCCCATCCATCCCGAGTAGGGTTTGGTGATGAGTTCCTGCATCCCAAATCCTCCCTGTCCCATCCTCCCCAAGTGCAGCTCCTGTATCCCAACCCTTCCTGGTCCTATCCCTCCAGAAAAGGATCTGATGAGGATCTCCTGCATCCCAAACCTTCCCAATCCCATCCATCCCGAGTAGGGTCAGGTAAGGATCTCCTATGTTCCAACCCTTCCCGATCCCATCCATCCCAAACACAGTAGGGTGAGGAGCTCCTGCATCCCAAACCTCCCCGATCCTAATCCCATCCGCCCCAAGCAGGGTTTGGTGATGAGTTCCTGCATCCCAAATCCTCCCCAAGTGCAGCTCCTGCATCCCAACCCTTCCTGGTCCTATCCCTCCAGAAAAGGATCTGATGAGGATTTCCTGCATCCCAAACCTTCCTGTCCACCCCAAGCAGGGTCCGGTGAGGAGCTCCAGCACCCCAAACCTTCCTGATCCCATCCCTTCCCGGTCCCATCCCTCCTGAGAAGGGATGGATGAAGCTCCTGCATCCCAAACCTTCCTGTCCACCCCAAGCAGTGTCCGGTGAGAAGCTCCAGCACCCCAAACCTTCCCGGTCCCATCCATCCCGAGTAGGGTCAGGTAAGGATCTCCTGCATCCCAAACCTTCCTGATCCCATCCCTCCCAAACACAGTGGAGTGAGGAGCTCCTGCATCCCAAACCTTCCTGGTCCCAGCCCTTCCTGGTCCCATCCCTCTCGAGCAGGGATGGATGAAGCTCCTGCATCCCAAACCTTCCTGATTCCATCCCTCCTGAACAAGATCCGATGAGGATCTCCTGCATCCCAAACCTTCCTGGTTCCATCCATCCCGAGTACTGTGGGGTGAGGAGCTCCTGCATCCCGAACATTCCTGGTCCCATCCCTTCCTGGTCCTGTCCACCCCAAGCAGGGTCAGGTAAGGATCTCCTGGATCCTAAGCCTTCCTGGTTCCATCCCTCCTGAGCAGGATGGGGTGAGGATTTCCTGCATCCCAAACCTTCCTGGTCCCATCCATCCCAAACACAGTGGGGTGAGGATTTCCTGCATCCCAAACCTTCCCAATCCCATCCATCCCGAGTAGGGTCAGGTAAGGATCTCCTGCATCCCAACCCTTCCTGATCCCATCCATCCCAAACACAGTGAGGTGAGGAACTCCTGCATCTCAAACCTTCCTGGTTCAATCCCTCCTGAACAGGATCCGGTGAGGATCTCCTGCATCCCAAGCCTTCCTGGTCCCATCCATCCCAAACACAGTGGGATGAGGATCTTCTGCATCCCAAACCTTCCTGGTTCCACCCCTCCTAAGAAGGGTCAGGTAAGGATCTCCTGATCCCACCCCTCCCCGGTCCCATCCCTGCCGAGGACGAGTCCTTCCCACCCCACTCAACCCCGGTAACCCCCGCGCACGGCCCGAGCCCGCCGCGCCTCACCCCTGCCCTTTAATTACCCATTTCTGCAGCCATTAGTGCTCTCCCATCAATTACACCCCCATTATCCCACCCCGGCAGCCGCGGGGCCGAGTCAAGTGCTCCAGGAGCCTTTCCAAGGCGAGGGAAATCCTCAAAAAGGGAGGGGAAAGCCTCAAAAAGAGAGGAGAAATATTCCAAAGGGAGGGGAAATCCTCAAAATGGGAGGGGAAAGCCTTCAAAGGGAGGGGAAAGCCTCAAAAACAGAGGAGAAATCTTCCAAAGAGAGGGAAAAGCCTTCGAAGAGCGGAAGCATCCTCAAAAACAGAGGGAAAAGCCTCCAAAGGAGGAAAAATCCTCCAAAAAGAGGAAACGGTCCCGAAAGGGAGGGAAAAGCCTCCAAAGGGAGGAAAACAACTCAAAAAGGAAGGAAAAAGTCTCCAAAGGGAAGGAAAACTCTCTGAGGGGAAGGAAAATCCTCTGAAGGGAAGGAAAATCCTCTGAAGGGAAGGAAAATCCTCTGAGGGGAGGGGAATGTCCCTCCAAGGGGAATGTCCCTCCACGGTAAATAACCATTTCTGCGTTTTCCCTGCTGGAGTTTTCCATCCTCGGGAGAAAAAAAGCCGGGAAGAAGAGAATCTCTCCTCCTCTCCTCCTTTTCTCCGCTCTCGGGGGGTTTATCAGGGCCACCATAAAGATCTGGGGCCGCTGATAAGCGATCCCGGGCCGGGACGATTGAACCAACG